CCAGCCCTGCAGGACCTGCCCACCCCCAAGCCCCCTTTGGGGAGGGAGCAGAGGGCCGGCAGGTGCAGGATGGAGGGGGAGGGGCATCTGGGCTGGGGGGGCACAGGTTGCAGCACCCAGATGCAGGGGCTACCCCTGAGGGCCTGGGGGGAGCAGTGTTGCCCTCTGCAGACCCCCCACTCCCTGCTGTCCCCAGACAGGTCCCTGGCCCCTTCCGGGCAAGTGCCTCTTGTTCAAGGCCTGAAACCTACTAGAGTCAGGGTTATTTTTATGTTAAAAAAGTCTTCACAGGAAATAAAGAGTAGTGGTCCTGCCCTCAGGGGGCACATCTGGTCCAGGGCCCCACACCCGCCAGCATCCTCCTGCTTCTCCTGCAAAGCCCTGGGCCCGCCCATCCTGGGCTCTCTGCTGGAGAAGCCCCCCAGGGTCTGCGCACCGCCCTGCCCCTCTTCGGGGGACAGCCCTGAAGACCAGGGGTGTCCAGGCAAGTGTGGCTGCTGTGGCCTAAGCACAGATGCTGCTGCTTTGTGAAAACAAGGCAAGTGGAGAACTGACGGCAGAGAAAGTCTGAGCTTCCAGGCCCGTGGGGTTTCTCACGCTCTCCAGAATGGAACCCCTGGCCAGACGTCCTGTGTCCTAAATGTGCGAGAAAACCCATCAGACAGGTTGGGCCTGAGCCGGGGGGCCACGGTTTCCCCTCCAGCCTTGAGTTCTGACATCGCTGCTCTCTTCCCACGTGGCGTGGTGGGTATGTTTACTAGTCACGGTGTCCCCGTGATGTGGAGATTTCCAACCCGACTGCGGCCAGCAGCGCCCTCCTGGTGGAGAGAGATGTTGAGAAGCCCTCTTTCTAGAACTTCCTTCCCACCTCCAGCTGAGTCCCAGCCATACCTTAGAGCTAAACTCATGAGGGTCTGATACTTGAACAAGGCCCATGTTCACAGCAGCATTGCTCACTGCAGCCAAAAGGTGGCAGCCCCCCAAATGCCCATCAGTTGAAGACAAGACAAGTGTGGTCTACCCACGCACTGGAATATCACTCAGCCACAAAAAGGAGCAGGTTTCCAACACCGGGTACAGCCTGGGTGAGCCCTGAGCACAATATGCCAAGTGAAATAAGCTGGACACAAAGGACAGACACTGTGTGATTCATCTTATACGAGGAAGGCTGCTTGCTGGGGTCTGGGGGGGGAGGGGGATATGCAATTGTTTAATGGGTAGAGTTTCTGTTTGGAAAGAAGGAAAAACGAGGGGATAATGATGGTGGCTCCACAAATCAATGCCATCAAATTGTTTGTTTAAAGATGGCTCAGTGACATATAATATAATATTATATCATAATAACAGACAAACAAACATGCATCTCTCTTAGAAAGGATTCTCTGCCCAGGTTTCCTCCTCCAGCTGCCAGCTCTGGGGGTGGCACCCCTCAGGCATGGCACCCACTGCTGCAAGCACCCAGCTTTAAATGCACCTTCTGTCGCCTTAAACCAAAACGAGATAGGACACTGACAGTCACTAAGGGCTCCCTTGGCCTCTTGTATGTTGCCAAAACGATTGTTCCGTCTGTTTGAGAATGTTAAACCTCTGGATCGGTGGTTTGGATAACATCGTCCCAGAAACACCCAAGACCCCTGCCTCAGCACTACCTCAGACACATGTTAATCTAGTGGATTTTTTTTTTTTTTTGATGAAAAACAATTTCAACATCTATGTTTACTGCTAACCTAGTATATTGCTGTCGTCACTGGGGCAAGATGACCACAGATTTAGTGGCTTAAGACAATATGAGTTTATCATCTTACCATTCTGGAGGTCAGAAGCCCAACAGGGTCCCACTGGGCTAAGACCAAAGTGTCTGCAGTCTCTGTTCCTTCTGGAGGCTCCAGAGAGAGTCCCGTCTGGCCTTTCCTGCCCTTTAGAGGCACCTGCACTCCTTGACTCGAGGTCCTTTCCTGCGTCTCCGCAGCCAGCTCCCCTCCAGTTCCCTCTGACTACAGCTGGGAAACTCCTCTTTAAGGGTTCCTGTGATTCAGCCGGGCTCTGCCCACCCGGACAACTCAGACTAATCATCTCTGGGGCCATAATTCTATACGACGCTAAGGTACCTGTTAGGGCTCATGACTTTAATTAGGAAATATTGCTGTACGTGAACTCAGAGGCAGGAAGCCAGCTTGCTCACACTTACAAATTCAGGGAGGAAATTCACTAAGGTGCTTGGTGTGATTGTTTTTTAGTGGACTGGCTCTTACTTTAGGGTGCTGGGGCCCTCTCCTGTCACCATGGGGCACTAGGGGACTGCATGTGAGTGTTTACTGGGACCATCTTTGCAGCTGAGGCACCTGGACAGTCACCAGCCCCTGCGCGCAGTCTGCTGGGGAATGGGGCAGACAGACACAGCTGCCCAGGCAAGGAGAGGGCCCAGGCCAGCTCTGCAGTCACACAGGGTCCTCACATCGATTGGTTCCCTCCTGCATGCACCCCGACCAGGGCCGGGGATGGAGCCTGCAACCGAGGTACATGCCCTTGGCTGGGCTCAAACCCGGGACCCCTCAGTCCTCAGGCCGATGCTCTAACCACTGAGCCAAACCAGCCAGGGCTCTTTAAATTCTTAATAGTCTTGAACAAGAGTCCCTGCATTTCCATTTTGCCCTGCCGCTCAAATTACGTGGCAGGTCGTGGCTGATGGGATACGCTGCCTGCCTGGGAGGCTCTGCTGCTGGTCCTTCTATCCCAGCACCGCCCACCACCCGGAGCCCTCTGTGCTCTCTCTGCCCCTGCACAGCTGTACCTGGAGAGGGACATGGCTGTTCACGTTTCCCACTGTGGATGCTGCGTGGGCCAGGATGGTGCAGGGCTGGCTGCACCTCTGTCCCCGTGAGTCAGCAAGTGCTGGCTGGGGCAGTGTGGCCAGGTGAGTCCTGTCTTAGACCCAGAGCTTCAAGCCTCTGCTGAAGGTGCATCCCGCAGCACAGTCAGCCTTACTGCTGTGCTCCCAGCCTCTCTCTCTTCTTCTTCCTGCCAGGTGTCTGTAATGTCTGGTCTCCTAAGTTGGGCCTGGAGTGACGATGGAGCAGGTGTACAGATGATCTTCCCCTCTCTTTCTTTACAGGCTCCTCTGTGAGCCGGCTCAGCTCAAAATAATGACCCAAGATCCATGGAAAGCAGGAAACCCCCACTGAGTACCGTGCACTGGATGGAGGTGGTGGGCCTGCAACTGCGGGAGGGAAAATGGTCTGAGGCTGTCGGGAACCATAGCGGCGCCTTGTTAAAAGTTCCCGTTTTACACCATCTTTCTCAGTGAAGGTCTTTAAAGCGGGGGCATGGGGCGCGCTCAGAGTGCAGGATGCTCTCCCCGCCTGCCTGACATCAGTGACTCGAAGAACCAGAGCATTTAGGACCCAAAAGAATCTTACAGGGAGTGAGTACAAGACTTTCATTTGATAAAGATGGGAGATCAGATGAGGGGAGATGAAATGCACTTCTGGAGTTACACCAGGTGTCAGCCCCGGGGGGCAGGGGGGAGTGAGGAAAAATGCAGGTCTCTTAAGTGCCAGTTAGATGTTCTTTATCCCCCCTGCTGGGAAGAAAGCTGTTTCGAAGACTTGGACATACAGGACCAATAGATGGATAGATGGATAGATGACAGACAGATGATTGGTAGATGGTAGATAGATGATTGATAAATGATTGATAGATGGTAGATAGATTACAGATAATTGATAGATAAACAGATAATAGAGAGTATTTCATCATTATGTCTATAAATGACACACACATTTGATCCCTAAACCAAACTACTAGGTAGTCAGGGAAAATATTATTTTTATCCCCATTTTCCAGGCAAGGAA